GGGGGGGAGGGGGGCTGAAAACAAATCTAATTCCACTTTATTAGTGTAAATAATGTCCACCAGGATGTGGGTAGGTACATCTTAACTAGTTTAGGATTGAGACCAGGGGTGTGCGAAAGACTTAACTCCACGTGGTGCACCCTGGACGACGTATAATCATACGGCAAAAAGTATATTAACTGGCAGTTGACTTCTCACTTCAAGCTACCATCACCCCACTGTATATCATATTCGACTATTTTTACAGTACTCACCTCACCTTTTTCTACCTTCGTCTTTGAAACACTCTTCTGTCCCCTTCCCTTCTCGACATTTTTTCACTTTGATGTTCTATCCCCCCTATGAAGCCTGAAGTCAACTAAATGGCTATTGATAGCCATCAAAACGCCTGCCATTTGATATAAATAAATATAATAAATAGGATTGAGACCAATCTATGCTTTGAGATATCTTTTAAATGAATAAACCTTCCGAAGTCGAATAAAATAGCAGTCTTTCCTAATGTCAGAAGACCGACAATCGAGTTTGATGAAGGGTGCATGGTGCAATCATCTGATAAGAACAAAAATAAACAGAAGTGATTAGGATGAGTAGAGAATAAGGAATACAACACAGCATGCGCAGAAATTGTTTTTCACAAAAAAACAAGGCAAATTAGAGTATGCCGAGAGGAACCAGCTGTTTTACCTCTTTTGCTCGCCATATGAACAGTCATTAAAAAGTCACCTGAAAATTGGGACACACGGGTATATGTCAGTACGTGCGTGGACATGATCATTCTCTTACTTCAGTGTGCTGATAATCTAACGCTATTTTGGAAATTAAGATTTTAAAAGTTAATTTCCATGTCAGTAATCTAGGAAATGAGTCTACCTCTTCATTTCCTCTCTATCTCCCCCCACCTCTCTCTGCTATTGTTATTTGTCACTTCTTTTTTCTTGAATTTAAATGCTTGCGCATTTTATTCATTTATTTCAAATGGCAGGCTTTATGATGTTTATCATTAACCCTTTAGCTGATTTCAGGCTTCTCAAATGGGAAAGAACATCGAAGTGACAAAAAGACGAGAGGGAAAGTCGAAGAGTGGGGAACAGAAGAGTGTTTCAAAGAGTGGGGCCATGGTAGTTTTAAGTCAGAAATCAATTGCCAACCAATAGACTTTTTTGCCGTATTAGTATACGTTGCCCAGGGTGCACCACGTGGAGGTAAGTCTTTCGCACACCCCATGCTTGCTCATTATAGAACGTCTTGCAGCTTTATAGCACTAATAGGAGATACCATAGAAAATTCTCTCACTTGTGCCGTTGAGACGTATCAGATTGTTCCAACATCACTCACCCCCCACATTGGTGATATTTTCTTCTGATCTTCCTGTTCCCTATTCTTCTGTTCTCTCATTAGTTGAAGTGGTCTAACTCAAATCCAAGACCTCTGGTTCTTTGAGAAGACCGAATTTATCTTAAAATTGGAGAGTCGCTTTTATGCGTTAAGAAGAACAACACTCACGAGTGTCTAGATAAGACGATGTGCGAAAACCTGAATGGTTTCAAGGAGGGATTGTTAAAAACAGGAGATAGCAGAGCTCATATTAGAACACACCACCCTTCTATCAAGTTGCAAGTCTCACATTCCACAGGAAATCAGTCGATATTTTCCCATAATTCAAATTATGTTTTTTCAACATTTGCTTTGGATATTCAACTACTAGATTTGTTGATTTCTCCAAAAAACTAGAATTTTTTGCGAATCCTCAAAGGTTTGCCATGTTATTGAATTTTCAAGTAGTTCATTCATATCTCTTAATGGCTCCAAAATATGCATGGCCTTTAACAGGTCAGTTGAAATCACTTACACTGATTTATGAGTAGTTATTGAGAGGCTTAAGTGGCGACAACACTAACTAAAATTTCAGATATTTTAAAATTATATTTATTGGCCTGGGGGGGGGGAGGGAGTTTGCGTCGTCAATTACACCTCTTTGTTATGGTTATTTACAAAGTCACCATACCTTGTCCATTATACTAATCAAAATGGTCAACTTAAGGACAGACTAGCAAGAGTACTAGAGGAATATAAATATGGGAAGTTGACTAAAAAGCGAGATAAGGTGATCGCGCTTTTGAGAATTTAGTGCAATTATAGAATTACGAATAAGATTATATCTTGCTCTCAATACTTTGGTACTAGGAGGGGGGTGAAGTGTAATAAGGATAAATTATTATTATTATTTCAAATGGCAGGCTTTGTGATATTTATCCTTAGCCCTTAAACTTTGACTTCAACTTCCCCCATGGGTGGGGGGGNCGTGTCCGATACGAAGTCTAAACTCAGCAATGGATTCGAATCTATGTATACTCCCAATCTTTGAAGGTGTTTTGCCAGGCAATCCTGTCCGGTGAGTCTAAACTCAGCAACGGCTTCGATTCTTGGCCATTCGGCTATGTGGTAGAGTGCCACTCCTAAACTCAGCAACGGCTTCGATTCTTGGCCATTCGGGTCGAAGAGTGCCACTGTCCACTGTTTCTCCTTTCTTCGAGTTTAAAGTTCGTTGCGCTTCGNGGGGAGTACATATATAGCAGTTAATTAATAGTAGTTCATTAGCTGTCTTCTTGCTTCCCAGTATCTCTGTGTTTCCGTCGTTGTCTTTAGGGCTGGACACCGAATCAGGTGGGTCTTCTCCATTTCCTCCTGTAGGTTACATAGGGGGCATGTGGGTTGAGTGTATACTCCCAATCTGTGAAGGTGTTTTGCCAAGCAATCGTGTCCGGTACGTAGTATAAACTCAGCAACGGCTTCGATTCTTGGCCAGTTGGCTATGTCGGAGAGTGCCACTGTCCACTGTTTCTCCTTTGTTCGAGCTTTGAGTTCGTTTCACCTTGAGGACTGGAATTCTCTTCTGATTAAGGCCTTCATGAAATAAGGATAAATCGAATTGAAATTGAGATTTTTCCTTACGACGTTAATGCGTTAAAATTTCTTAAATGCATATGTTTGGTGGGGAGATTTGGAGAATATTGTGGGGGGTGGGGTATTACACCCAATGACCGACTTTGTAGACATGGGTCTGCTATCTTGTAAATTTCTCTCCAAATTAAAGATTGGACGATAGGAACCCTCCCATGTTCAGGGTTAATAAAGTGTTAGTTGGCACAAGATGAAATTTAAAGCAATTTACCAATGGCCAAATTTTTACTTTTAAGGGCCAACTTATCTGTTCATATTTTCCATAACGGACATAGAGTGGTTGGATAGAAATTAGGCATAGCTGTTTCGACATCTCTAAATTTCTTGCAGTCGAGATCAAACTGCATTCGAGTATTTGTAGCCACAACCATCTTCTACATAAAATTGCGATGTAGAATAATTACCAATTAAAATTTTGCATTTTTCATAATTATCAAATCCCCACACCCCTCTCCCCCCACCCCCTCAACCCACCTATAGCTTCTATCTTACCAATTTCTTCATAAAATAAGCACAGGCAAAGGTAATCACAACATTTTACTAACGAATTTTTCTCATAGAAATTAGAAGCTTATAGTTGCAGAGAAGAAATTAAGGATAAAATAATAAATACGATTTTTGTGGTTTCTGGTGGAGGCGGAAGGGGGCGAGGAGGGTGGGGGGGGGGGGGGGGGGGGGGGGGGGTGGAGTAAGCAAGAGCTCTTGAGACTGCGTTAAGCTGCTGGAGACAAAGTGGGGGGTGGGGGTGGGGAAGGGAGGGCCAATGAGGAACGGTCATGGACGAAAGCAGCAACCTTGACAGAAAAAGTGGCGACAAATTTGATTAGAACTAGGGCAATAAATGATAAGAATTCCTGTATTTAGTCGTATCTTGAGGCCACGAGATGCATGAGTTGGCGTGGTTATTTTTCAAGTATACGGGAGCATACTTGAAGCAAATGAGCGGTGTGGCAATGCAACGCGACTGGAAAGAGAAGCAAAAGAAGGCATAGTGAAGAGGAGGGGAAGAAAAGAAGAGGATCTTGAGACTGCATAGTGTATTTATGCGCTACAATCGGGACAGACAACGGCTCCGTCTTCGACCAGGAATCCGCGACCAACCAGACTAGTGTTGCATTTGTTGCAGTTGAAGCACTCGGAATGCCAGTTCTTATCCTCAAAGGTAATGAATTTGCAGCCTCCAAATCCTGCAAAACATTAATGCAAATTAGCAGCTACCAATTTAGCGGTGAGCAATGTTAAAGGAGGTTAATGTTAATCTGATTTCTTTTATTTTTCATTACAATTATTTTGCTATCGATACTCAGCCGTGAGTTTATCGTCAATCCACAATATGAATTTGAAGAAATCTTCACCAACCTTGCAAACGTTTGAACGTATGTTCATCTTGAAATGATTGATTCGGAGCCATATTAACACATTCGTATAGTTAGCGGGGAACTTTAGTTTGAAGCAGAATTATTATTTTTATTACTATTACTACTATGAATAGAAATTTAAAAATAATAAAAGGTGCATTTGTGAGAGACAGTTCAAATTGGTTAATAGAGGTGGAGTAACGCCAAACTATTAGTTAATCTTTGTTCGACATCTTCGCTTCGGACCTTATAGTACTTGCGTAGCACAATTTGACCTCTAGATTGCAGCAAATCCTTGTTAACGATCTAATGTGCTTTCAAACATTTGTTTAATCGTGACGCTCGATCTTGTTAAGGTAGAAATCACAATACTCTTGTATAATATTTAGTAGCTTATAATCCCACCATAGAGCTGGGCTGTGATGAGTGATTGCCATGGCATCAATCTGATAATTTTAATGAAATTGTCTCCATTCTTCAACCCGCTATTGATGATTTGGATCATTTTAAAGGAGGGTGTAATACTGCTTGGTCATTAGTCGGCAGTCCAATATCAATACCCCCGTAACAGTTGATCACTTTCACTTAATTTACTAGGTCACCTGCTGTTCATCTATTGGTTCGTTTTGTAACCAGTCAAAATCCCCTTGCAGTGGCATAAATGGGTTTAAAATAACATTGGAAATAATTAATTAGTTCTGTCTAGTCACAACATTTCTAATTTCGCCCTTCGTTGAGTCGGAGTTACTTTGGCCCTCATTGATGCTGACTACTAACAACTGTTATATTAAATTAAATCTGTGCTAATTACAAGTTAAAAACACCCACTTAAATCTAAATGGGGGGATGGTAAAATGCGTTATCTTTCATATTTTTCGTACAATTTGAAATAAACGAAAAAGCATTTCAAATCAATTGTCATGATCGAAAGGCGGAAATTTGGTCTACTTTGCTGAAAAATAGGCATTTTTCAATCGCGTAAAATTGTCAAAAAAATGCTTTTAGAGAACACACGATTGGTTGGGTAACAGCAATGTGGATAAAAAATATCTCAAACAATTGAAATAAGATAATTGCTTTCAGCCTCTTGATTAGATTTTCCGTGTTCTTCTAATTACCCCGTGGCCTTAATATTTCTTGAACGTCGATTTCAATTACTAAATAGTTTTCTGATGAAGTCTCCTTAATCGCGGGTGTGTGCGTATGTCTGTGTATTTGGCAGTGAGCCGTATTCCCGTCTTAAGGTCGCATTTTCAATAATTCCTGGTAACAGCAAATTTCTGACAATCAAAATATTGATTTCCCTGAAAAATCTTCTTTTCAGTCATTTGCTACTTGTTTACTGTTATATTTTTGTAGAGAATATCAGATACTAAAAGGATATGTCATTATTTATTACTTAAAATTGGAAAATGGAAAATTTTTTCGTATTGAAGTCTCCATTAACTGAAAATATTTCCGAATACATAACCAAAGAAAGCGCTTTTACCAAGGCTTGGGTTTCGAACATTCCTTGTAAAGTTGTAGGAAGTGATCTTAATATAGCGAACTCAAAATTCGAATTCATTGAAAACTACTCTAATTATGCACATAAAAAACACATTAAATTAAATTTGGCAACATATGCAACTTATTTATTGAGCACATGTACTGTGCGTTTGACGAAAAAATTTAAATAGTACTGCATTTAAAGTACCGAAATTTAAAATTAAATATTAATAATAGATATTAAATAAACAATATTATGTTGCCCTCTGGGGTTTGGGATGGACTTACCTCCTCGTGGTGCACCCTGGGCAACGCATAATCATACGGCAAAAAATCTATTAACTGGCAGTTGACTTCTCACTTCAAACTACTATGACCCCACTGCATGTCATATTCAATCTCTTTCACAGTACTCGTCGTACCCTATCTGTGCCCTGGTGTTGGTCTGTTTCATTTACATCTGCGAATCACTCTTCTGTTCCCCCTTCCGAATTCTTCTCATTTCGTTGTTCCCCCTCCCCTCTGTGAAGCCCGAAGTCAACTAAAGGGCTAATGGTAACTATCAAAACGCCTGCCATTTGTTATAAATAATAAATATTGCCCGCTTATCCTACTTCCGTCGTCTATGATAGTGGTGTTGTATTTTGTCCTTTAAATTCAGGACACCACATATGTCAGAGAGGCATTTCTTTACTTCAGAGTTAAAACGATGAGCATTAGATCCCCAAAACAAAGACATTTGCTCATTGATTGA